CTGACTTTAAAACTTAAACCCTGAAAATACTTACTAATGAATTGACCCTTTGAAGTTACAACTCACATTTTAATTACAATAAACTTAGATAACAATCTTAATTTAATACTATATAAAATGTTAGTTAATAAAATGACATTGAATAAAAATGTTCACTGTCAGTATGAAATAACCAATAAAAGTAGTATTCCATAAAAAAGTGTGAGGATTGTGTGTCCCAACTCGCCTTAGGGGGCGTCTGACCAAGCAGAACCACAGTGACACTGTCTATACGCTCTAGCTCAGACCGCCAAACGAGTCTTGTCCTTGCCCGACGATGCCATCCCAAATAGTGAAATTAATGCACTGACATTAGTTAATGTTCCACCATAAACCTCCATGCAACTATAATATATTGCGATGGTGCAAGGTGATCCACAAGGATTGTGCCACCTGGAATGCATCAATTGAGTGTTATAAATATCCCTTTAACCATTACCTTTAAAATACATTCAATGGACCTTTCTTTCTTAAACACCTTTTTATTTCTTTGGTAAAACTCTTAAACACCCTTACTTCATTTCTCTCTCTTATGTGCTAACTTGGTGTTGGAGTGTCTTTCTTAAGATATATTCTTTGGTCTAACAAGTCACCTTTCTTAGTACTTTGTCCAAGTTTGCCCTCAGTCTGAGCTGAAGTAATTTGAGCTAATTCATGCAATTACAAAATGTTTTAATAAATTATTATATAGTAAAAACTATCACTTAACTTTTGAGTTAACCATTTAACTTAGCGCCTCTTGCGCTCTCTCACTCTGCTAGGGTCAGGGTTTGGGGTTATGGGTGTCTTCCTTCGAGATTTCTCTCCTCTTGGGTGGAGTTGCTATCTGTCTTTGTAATTCTTTCATCCATAATATCAAGGGCAAGCGTGGTGCTTTTGTTTTGTTTTCTATTTCCTCTTGTTTTGTTTTGGAATCTCCTTTTGTTGGCAAGCCGCTGGTCTTGGATTGCTGTATCTTGTCCATTCGGCTTATTTAAAAATTCCTTTGAAGAGGGCCTCATACAAGAGCATTAAGGGTGACCTCATAAAGGAAAATGAAAAATTAATATCAGTAACATAATAACCCGTAAAGCTAGTGTAACAAGTCACTCCTAGGACGTAATGGGTGGTCTTTGTACTTTTGCATTCCTATTTTTGTCCCTATAGTGATTTGTTTTAAAATCACTATTATTAAGTGACTTCTTTTTCATTATTGTCCAATTAATTTTCAAGACTAAATATTATTTTTACTCTTTATTTATTATAGTTTTAAGGTTTATAAATTCAAAATCCTATTACAAAATTACAAAATTTTAAAGAAAGACATTTGTTGGAAGAGTAAATCAAACACTCTAGATTGAGTAATTCCTAAGGGATTATAGTGCCATCCCTATTTAAAAAAAAAATAGCAAAACCCTACATCAAGCTTTTAAACTTATCTCAGATTCTTGATTAAGTTTTTAAATTTTTATTAAAGTAAATTAACCCTTGAACTTATCAATTTAAACAATTTAACCATATTTCTTATGGAGGATTTAATGCCTACTTTTGCCTTGCTTGCATGAAGAAGGTTAATACCCATCACGTACGTAAGTAATGATATATCAATATTTTATCAATACAAGTAATACATAAATAGATGTTAAATTGGTCGTAAAAAAAAAGAATTAAATTACAAAAATTACTAAATTTGGAGATTTATTTACTTTAATAAAAGTTTAGAAATTTAATCAAGAATACGAGATAAATTTGGGAGTTTAATATAGGATTTTATCGAAAAAACATCCAATTGATTTTCCTATTATGCGGATAAAAAAATTACTAAAAAAAATAATAATAAACCCCTTCTTATTGACCAATAAAACTGTTCAAGAAATAAAATAATGAAAAACTGGAAACCAATCCACCGGTCCATACTGGTTTTCTCCACCCCTTGGCTTGGTGGCACCATGTGGACCCACTTATGGGACTCGCCGACGAAAGGGGTGGGGGATACCAGTATAACCAGTCCGGACTGGTTTCTACTGCCCTCAAACATTAAACGGTTAAACCTGCTTCCAATGTAACCGACTGATCAATTATTTTTCTGGTCGGTTGTATTGGTTCTTCGGTCCAACCAAAGTCCTGCCCGCGCTTCATTGTAGCCATGCAGGGTGCAGTTTTCTTCCATGGCAAAATTTATTCCTTCCATGTAAATCCTGTAATGGATTTTACGCAGCCAAATAGGATTTGTGTGTATAAAGCAAATCCTATTATTTAAAGACGCTGATCTTCTATTGTATAACCACACTTGCATGCAATAATAATCAAGTTAAATGTAGATTATGTTCAAAATTCGATCGAAAGTCTTGTGTGGCCAACAGCATAAGAAATCAATTTTCTTAAATATATTAGATTCATATAAGGGGTGTGTTTTTAAAATTGTTTAGGAAAAAATTAGTTTCAAAGTGTGCAAAAAATAGTTTAGCAATACCTTAACAATAAATATCAAAAAATAAAAAATAAATAGGTTAATGAATTCAAAAAAGAGATCTATTAGAACCTTAAGCCCTTTTACCACTAAATCAAACCTTAAGTCTCAAATGGGTGGTGATATAGAGAGTATTTTGCAGCGTATTGGGATGAGAGGATAATTAAATTCTTAAATCTGAATCACTAAACACTACAGCTTTGATCCTTATGACTCAAGCAATATATTCCACTTTAAGCCAAAAGAGCATTACCGTAGGAATTAATGCTTTCAGTCACGGTTATCCAGATGCATTTTCTACTGTTTATGACATCGAGAAATTTTTGACTAAACCTCACAGCGAGGATGTTTCTGAAAAGTATAGTTGATGAAAATTATATGGACATTAGACAATAGTGGTTTCAAATGTGCTTTACAACAGAAATTGGTAAAACGATTTGGGCACTCTTTACAAATAAACGAATAGCGTAGGCCGATTAAGTTCAATACAGAGTATTATTTTCAATAAGAAAAGTCCTCTCTTCACCTCAAATGTCAATGTACTCTTTATGTGCAGCATTATGGAGGTCAAAGTGAAGGATTAGCAAAGAGAACGGAAAGCAAAATTAATGGATTTCTATCAAAAAAAAAAAAAAACAAAAACAAAAAAAGGTCTCTCACTACAGAAAAGAGATCAACTGGCTACCAGTTTACTTGAAGTACCATCAGCAAGAAGCTGCATCGGTCTCATCACTGTTGAGGTCAGAAAAGAAGGGGTCCTTGACAAGATCAGAGGCTGATGGTCTTGCTCTTGGCTGGGCTATGCACTTCTCAATGAATGCCCTCAATTCTGGATCTGTCACAGTGTTCAGGGCTTGGGGCAAAACTCCAGATGTCACCTTCTTGTATATCTTAGCAATGCTATCGCATTCACTGTAGGGTATCTCCATTGTAACCATCTCAAGTAAGCACATTGCAAAAGAGTATACGTCAACCATTTCAGTGTAATCTTCTTCATACAGCTCCGGTGCCATATACTCTGGTGTACCTATGATTGAGTGCGCAGCATGGCTTTTCCCCACTATTGCTGCGAGTCCCAAGTCGCCAATTTTCACCTATAACCAGGAAATTAAAACACTTGAAGTTCCTATTGTCATAAAACTTAGTGAAAACATGCCATGCTATCTAGGAACATTAAATGTAATAAACTCAATTTTATTTTGGCGCTGAAATAAGAACTACAACTTTCCTTCTTAATTTAGGGAACAAGAGCCAGGAATGCTTACTGAAAACAGAAAATCATATTTCCTTCTGCAACATCAAGCCATCAAGTAATTCCATCACTGAAGTCATGTGCATGTGAATGTCATGTGCTGGTGAATTAATTCCTTAATACAATGCCACTTGCTCAAACAACTAAATGTACAAACTAAATATACTTGGCTTTCCATGAAAACTTCTTCTCCCAAATTGGTTTTCCAAATCAAGCAAAACTAGACACAGGAAAAGTCAGCAACAGCTACATTTAAATCACACTAAGATGACTTATCAAGCTACTAAAAGTTATGGTATGAAAACTTTACCAGTAAGCTAGATCATAAGGCTTTTAAAAGAAACTCTAATTGTTAATATGAAGCTTACTCTAGGGAGCAATAATTAGTTAAAAAACAGAAACTTGACAGTATGAATGCGATATTAAATGAAACCAGCCAGTCTCATATGATCGTAAAATGTGTATTTACCTGCCCAATGTTCCCATTGATGAAAATGTTGCTGCAGTTGAGGTCTCTATGAATAATGCATGGTTCATGTGTGTGGAGATACTCCAATCCTTCAAGTACTTGCTTTGACCACTTCTTCAATGCTTTAATTGACACATGGCGATGCTTCTTCCTATAAGTTCTCAGGTTTCCTGATGTGCAAACCTCAGTGATAAAATTCAACGTGTTATGCTCATCATCTTTCCAAACACTATAGCAGACAATGATATTCTTATTCTTCAATGTTCTCAGCAACTGAACTTCAGACTGAAGCCTATTAATGAACACTGGATCGTCACTAAATTTACTCAACCTCACTTGATTCCACGCCACCTCTATGCCTTCCTCTTGATCAAACGCCCTATAAACCTTCTTTACAGCACCAGAACCAAGCAGATCACTGTACCGCCCAAATCGTCCAGTAGGATCAACCTCAATAAATGGTTCTGTGTCTCGATCAGACATATTGAGACTAGCAGCCGGCATCTTCAAAGATCAAAAATAAATTATAGTAATTACTAATTACATCTCGAACCAGAGGATATATTAGGAAAATAGTCTCAACTTAGAGACTTCACATCATCCATAACCTCTAGACAATTATTCTTAAAAACAGACAGGAGAGAAAACGGAGAAAGGATCTAACTAAAGCTCCAATCAAACTGAATTAAACGGAAAGAAGGAAGCTAAGATCACAATATAAGAAACAGAAGTGTCAAATTCAGGCTCCCGATCGCAGATTGAATCCCTAGATTTGGAAGAATTAACAGAACCATACAAAAACATGCTATATCTGTACACACTTGTACGAAATCACATACACAAAAAAAAATATGAAAAATGGAAAAGAGCATCCACCATATATGGAGAAACGGAGCAAATTGAGAAGATAAAGAGCAAGATTTGTTTACCTTATGAAAGAGAAGCAGCAGAGAGGAATTGCAGATTCTGAAGACAGGAAGAAGACGAAAGTAGAATGGGCTGGGTTTAGGTGGCTTGTGGAAGGCTGGCTATTTATACGTGACGCGTACTTTAGGATTCCTCAACAAAAATAATTTCCCTACTCTAATTATTATTGTTTTTCAATTTTTCCCTTTAATTAATTTAATAAAAATATAAGATTTCTCTAATTTATATTCTTAATGTACATTGTAATGATATATTAAATATATTTTTTACTATAAATTTTTATTAAAAAAATAAAAATTAACTTTTAATTTAAGTTAAACCTTTAATTTGGCCCCTCAATTATTATATAAACTCTTAATTCAATTCCTAAACTAAAAAAATCCATGATTTAGTCTTTATTATTTATCAATTTGATCCTAATTTAGTCTTTTAGTACAAAAATAAATAACGTACCTTATTATTAATGTGACACGTAATTATAACAATTTTTTACTATTAAATAACGAACATATTAGTTATTTTTTAATGAAATGGTCAATTTAAAATCAAATTAGTAAATAATAAGAATCAAATCTAAAACTCATACAATAATTAAGAGATAAAATTGAAGATTTAACTTTTAATTTATTAATTATTGAATTAAATTTATTTATTTCATACAATACTAAACTTAATATCAATTTTATACTTTTTATATATATTTATAATAAAAAAAACACTTTATTTATATTTTAAAAACACAAATTATAAAAATCTAAAATTACATTATATAATTTTGACGTTTAAAAACACACAACAATAACTATTAAATAAATGCAGCAGTCTCCGGACATTAAGCTGAGGCCTGCCTATCGTCACATGCAAAATGGTTTTCGTTTTGCGAGGCAGTGGATGCTTAATTTAATATAATTTAATTGTTAAAGTTATGTTTACTAGGTCAAAGCAGATGGGCATAAACGACGCCGTTGACGGATGAAAGCAAAGGATAACAAAACACGTGGGGGTCTGGCTGCGTATGGATTATTTTGGCTCGACTGAATGAGTCAAAATCAACCTCTCCCACAATGCAACTCATTTTTACCATACTGATTCAACTTTATTTACTTAAAAGAAATTAAGAATTTAATTTTTAATTAACATTTGCTTTTGCGGGGGAAGTTATTGGAATGATTTTAAGGTGTATTTAAAATTATTATATAGTGTTAGGGTGTAATAGTTTCTACATAAAAATTATCAAAATCTTTATAATCTTTCTTTTTAATCTTTTGATATTTAGAAATGACATTTAATTTTGATTAATTTAGAATCAAGTTGGATCAAATCCTATATTGAGAGAAACTCTCTTAATACCTATTTTTTCATTCATAAAATTTGAATTCGAAATTTTATTTAAAAAAATTGAGTTTTTTTACTCGAATCAACAGATTATTAGTAAAATCTTTATAAATTAAGATAAGGACAATCCTTTTTATATAATTCATTTTTATCCATTTGAACACTTAAAGACACCCTACGATTTTTCATCCATTTTAAGTATTAATCACTTAAGACGACATGTCGTATGTGGAATACTGACACGAAAATGAACAATTTGGACTGTCACGAGCTTCTACGTTTTAATGACCCGTGAAAAATCCGTCATCTCTCTCAGTGGAAAGATGATTCATCCTTCATGGCTTTCTCGTGTCCAAATCACAAATGCAATCCTGAATCATCACGAAAATGCGGTGCATTAAATGGCATTCATATCGTGGCTCGCTGGGATTTTGGATCTTTGAGTTTGTGGCAAGGTACGCCTCACTTTTTTGATAAATAAAGTACGAGAGAAAACATTAATAGACTAAACATGCATCAGATTCATGAACTCATGCCAAATTTCAAATTTCACGGGCAAGCTGCAAGCTGGATCCCGTGGGTTAGATACGAGTCATTAAATGAAACACCTCAACAACTTCGACTTGAAACCTAAAAATCTGAATCAGCCGACGAGTCATGATGCATACGGCCTGATAGTGTTTGCCCCACTTACGGACCACAATGTCAATGAAGATGATCTTAAGAATGCAGGATCACTGACAACGCAGAAAGGTTTATCCATTTGAAACGAACAGTTCCATTCCAGAAGATGGGAGTAACACTAAGCAAAAAAGAAAACAATGGTGAATGCATATGCATCCAAATGAAAGGCATTCTGGAGGCATACAATACAATCCATCTAGGTCAGAAAGAAGATAGATAATGTAATTGTTAAGACTGTTTCCCTTCAAGTTAAATCTAGCGTCCCTATAACAGCCAAGGTGAACATTCAATAAGAATTCATGCCACAATCATCATAACAAGGTACAATTATCCACAACGTCAGTTCTCACACTAATTTTATCTTCAATCTGCTAAGTATCCGCTATTATGATGTTCACAGATTGTGTGTTGTGAAGTGATGGAATTAAAGGCATCCTCACGGACATCACAATATAAAGCACTTGCTGAAGCCAGGCCCTTCATTTACACCATAAAACTGAAAATTGTATCCATGATAAAACTTCCAGATACTTCAACAGAACAGCAAGTGATTAAAGAATATGAAATCTCAACTCAATAAGGGTGAATCACATGCACATAGCCTAGATCCTAGGAAGAGGATAAGAGCACCTTAAACCGAACAACATAAACAGATTGTTGGTTGATGACAATCCACATCAGGCAACTTTTCTGGCTGCTTTTGGTGAAAACTACAAGATAGAAGAAAATCAAATGCAGGGCTCAGAGCATCACAATGTGAATCAATCCCCACCTTTTCTGCAATGTGGAAGCACACTCCTCAACTATACACCAACTCAACCTGCTTCCACATCCTCCATTCTATCTCTATACACGTTGCCCCCAATCCAATGCTGACAAAACAAAAAAAAAAAAACCCAAACATAGATACAAAGGAAGAAAGACCATCATTTTTTAACATTGGAAATACAGCCATGCAGTACAAACAGGGAGACTGTAAGTGTTACGAGATGAACTCCTCTCCTAATTAAATTTCTAAAACTTACTCATCAAAAACAAACTCGAAAATTTACCACGAGCACTAGATGTTAAACAACACTAGTTCAGAATAGAGAACTTCATAAATTCATGTAAAAGAAAGTTTGAGGAATTAACAATATATATAAGAAGACAGGACAAAATAATCTTTCAGGATCCAATAAGAGCATAAACGTGTATGGCAAGCAATTTTTTTTTTTTTTCTTTTTTGAAGACAAGGATGGATGGTCAGAACCCCACGTGGGAGGGTTTGAACCCTGTCAAGATGAGGAGCCTTCTTTTTCCCTTAAGAGTTCAGGCCACTTGGCCTTAGTGTCTCCTCATGATATGCAATTCTGAAATCAAAATACAAATTAAAACGAAGCTTTCCTAATACTTACGTTCAATTTCAGACATGATTACCCCATCCAATTTGATTCCTCTATGGAAGAGGTCAATAAGGCTAAACTACATTAACAAGAATAAAAATTATAAAATCATTACATCAGATAATCAACACTAAAAACCTTATTTGAGAGAGTGAAAGGAATCTTTTGTAAGTTATTGTATTCATCAAACTTACCAAACATATACAGTGAAAACCATCTTGAAGGAAGTACTACAAACAAGAATTAATAAAATGAACTAGCAAGATGATGACCTGGAACCCATGCTTCCAAAACATGGGAAGTATTTTATCATTATTACATCAGCAAAACTAAAATTACCAAGGCGGATTAGAACCCTCCCTTACTGAAGGTGACCTGGAACCCATGCTTCCATCTCTTCCAAACCGTGAAACACTTCTCACACTTTTAGGAGTAGCAACTCCAGGACTTGAGCCTCGATAACTGGCACGAAGAGTTTCATCCACAGATGATGAAGACTTGGCAATTGCATTCCTTACAAACTTCTGGGCAGCAGGAGAAAGTGTTCGAACACTTGGACTGGCACTTCCCCCTCTATAAGGTGAGGGCAATGGTGGCTTTTGAAACATCTTTGACCTCTCCCTCAATTTACGAGCAGCTTCTCTTGACAGGGAGTGTGCCTTGACATCCCTAGCAGGTGGACAAGGAATCTTGAATTGAGGCCCATCACCACTACCACCAATATCAATTGGTGTATCCTCAGGCTCTAATCTCAAAGGCGTCCCTTCAATTTCACCCCATGTAATAAATGGAGATTCATCAACACCTGGTGCAGGTGATGGAGTCCTAACAAAACTATATCCATTCTCTGCTTTCTTCCCAGATTCCATATAAAATGGATTTGGTGTCTTCCTCAAATCCTCCAAATCATACTTCTTTAATTTATCCCCTTCTCTACCTGATACAGGCACTGGAGTTGCACCAGCAACAGGAGTATAAAGCACCTCTACAGTCCCATCATCTTTGGGCCTAGAATCCATCATTTTGCCATGAAAACGGGTATTTGAACGATTGATTTCCTTTTCCAAACCCTTCAATCTAACTGCTTGTTCCTCATCAGTCAATGGGGCCTCACCACGATCAGCAGGATGATACATCAACAAATTCTTTGCAGTATACTTCCACCCTTCCAAAGTAGCTGTTGGCTGATCAGAGGTCCCATATCCGTCAGTTATCCTATCCCTCTTAACATCCTCAATGGATTTGACATCTTCCCCCTTCTCTCCTTCTATCAGATATGCATACTTCTCCCTCTTCTTCCTATTCACCTTCTCTAAAATCTTTGAAAAGCTCTCGTTATCCTCACTAGTATACCTCCTAAAAAACTCATCTAACGATAGCTCTGTATCAACCTCACCATCATCATCTCTACCCTCTACCTCACCAGAAAATTCCCTACCCAAGACACCCGGGGTTCTAGGAGTCTTTCCATCAAATTCATCAAAAGGAGTAAAATTCCTCACAAAAGTAGAACCAGGAGTTTGAGTGGGAGCTCTACCTTCAGAGTCAGCTGTTTTGGCCCTCTTGCCACGGCGCTCGATGATCTTCAACTGGGCATCTCGGATTTGAACTGGGTCACCTGTTTTTATCGCCTCCAGCCAGTCGAGCCGATCCCGGAGCTTCGCTATATCAGGGAAGAAGTCCCGTTCGATGATCTTCTCGATCGCGGCAACATAGGTATCTTCATCAACGACTTCCGGTCGTTTTCTAGCATTGTGTGGGGTGATCGAAGAGGAACTCTTAGGAGTTACGAGGGAGTTATCGGGATACGAAGACGGAGACGGTGAAGATAAATGCCGTGGGGAGTGGCCTGGAGAAAGAAGCATGTTTCTGGGTTTGGGAAATCAGTTCAGAATTTGGGGTTTTGGTGATCTATTCTCTTGAAAGATCGCGAAATTGAAAATCTATGAAGATCAAATTTTCAGGGTTTGATAAGGATTAGGGTTAGGGTTTTCAAAAAATTTTTTTGTAAAGGGATTCCACTAGTACAGATCGACAGAGGATTGTGGCATGTATATGAACCGTACACGCGTAAGGTTATTATTTTTGCAGTTATGTCCTTATTTTTATATAATTTTACAGTTTGTACCCCGCTTGAGCTTGACTGATACATGATAGATCTTTTGAATGAAAAGACAAGTTTAGCCCTTAAAAAGTAAACACTCCTCCGCAATGGGATTACTGTCTTGTTGTTGTTGATCAACAATCAATTTCTTTTTTATTTTATTTTATTTTTAAACTGGTTACAGATAAATTTAATATTCTAAGAAAAGAGGAAAACGTGTTATCTTCAAAAATTAAAAGTCAAATTTAAAAGTATTTTTATTTAAAAGACAAATAATTAACCACTTAATCCAATTTTACTGAATAATTTCTTTCTTATTTTTTATGGGATAAGAAATGAGAATATTATTAGAAAATTTGAAAAGGTGGTGGTGGGGGAACAGCCGTCCTAAGTACAGAACAGCCTCTGATCTCACTTGGACCTAACTTGGGCTATTATTCCATAATGTTATTAGAAACTAATAAGAATAAGCAATTTGAATTAGTCCAACTCCGAATTGCTATAGGACACATTTAAGAAGCTAAAAGTTTTAATTATATTAATCGGTGAAGTAAAAATCCCACCTTAATAACTCCTTTAACAAATAGAATTAGAAACTAATCCAACTTTATTAATTAAAGAATTGATTTTTGTAAGAACCTTCTTAATTTTCTGATCAAATCCAACTCAAATGAAATCATCATGCGAGAAACTAGAGATATTAATGCAAAAATTATTTAGTTGGTGTTTACACCATAAATTGTAAAATTTTAAGATAAAGTCACGTGTAAAATATTTTTAGTGGATGGAGGAGATTAGGTCAGGTCAGATTTGTAATTCTGGGTCTCATGACAGATCAGCTGTCATTTTGGCAAAAAATGAGAGATAACCTTGAAGTTTTACTATGTAATTATCTTGTGGAGATAAATAGGAACTGTTTAAGCTAAAATGTAGGAGAAGATTGTAGTTAGAGAGAGGTTTTATCTGATAAAGAAATAGATGACAAAATTTTGCAAGGAGATAAGACCAAGTCAATTGGTGAGCTATCCTATTATCTCAAGAAACCACCCATGATAGAGTAACTGTAGAAAGTGAAAGTTACTACCGGCACAAGGAAAACAAAATGGAAATTTTGGAAGGGAGAACAGACGGCCAGTCCTACTCAAACATCTGCAAATTTTCAAACTTTATTTTCTCTGCAATCTGCTTCCAGATTTCGAATTTCAACACAAATTCCAATAGAATTAGGTTGTTTTTCATAATTTCAGTAGGCAAATTAATTCATGTATTCAGTTCAACAATTTCCTTTCATGCAATGAATTTCAATCATTCAAGTTTATGCAAGGTATTGTTCTCTTTCCATTTGCAATTAATTTAATGTTTATGATAAATAACATTTTATTCAATGATTACTTATGTGGTGTTCATACCTCTTTTCAACCTCAAGCATGTTAGTTTAATCACTGTTTACGTTAATTTTAATGTTAATTATGGTAAAATCTTTAATTCTACAGTATTTAAATTTTTAGATCTGCCAATAAATAATATTTTAATTTAACAATGAACATGTTTAATTTAATTTGTGCACATTTTTATTATCGCAAATTTATTTTAAATTGTAAGTTAATTAGTTCAATTACGATTTGTTAATTTTAAGTCACGGTGATGTTTAAGTCCTTGGAGTTGTCCAAGGCAGATTTCATAACTCATTCTGCAGGAAGGTGCCCCTCCCTCTTGCAAATCATCTGAAGGCGCAAATTTCAATTTTAATTCAACGTTCTTCCCGCCATCCACAAGGAGGTCGACCGTGAGGAAGGAGAGGGTTGTTGGGAAAGTCCTCATTTCTTACTTTCAGCAAAGTAAGTGGCACGCATGCATCCAGATTTCACACGTGCAAGGCCACTAGAGGATTTTTGGGGAAACAGTTGGAAATAGGCTGCCACCAAAGCTTCTTGCCGATTTTGCTCCACCTTAACCATAGTTATAGTCATTTGTAAGAGCTCTCTCCACCGCTATCCAACTAGAATCTCATGTCCTTATCACGTTTGAAACTTCGTCATTGTCCTCCTTTCTCACACCACCACCATGCACAAGTGAACCACTCACCCTCTTGTTGCTTTTGCAACTGCCACCATTAGGAAAACCAAAAACATCTAGCCACCATCACGCACAGGGTTAGGATCTTTTGCCTGTTTCTTCTCTTCCCCATTCCTAAACTTCATTGAAGTACATGTTCAAGGCTACCCTTCATTTTGATGTCAAGGCTTACCCCTGTCGTTTGAACAGACCAGAACCATTTTCCACCAAAGCACCCCCTATTGCCCCAAGGCAAGGATCATGGAGCAGTAGACATGACACACCCATAAGCACCAGTTGGTGATTGGAGCAAAGGGAAAAGGCAAGAATACTCACATCGGTAGTAAAGAGAAAACTAAGAGAAAGAAACCCTAACATCTTTGTATATGTCTTTTTTCTTTTTCTTTTTTTTTGTTGGATCCAGAATCAATTAATTTCTTGTAAGCATAATGGGGAGGTAATTCCTTAACAAGTCTCCAATCCTAGTATGGATAATCAGTCTTTAACTAAATTAGGGAAATGCAAGCTAAGCTAGAATTGTTAACAAAAATAAATAAATAAATGCAACTATGAAATAAGGAAAAATCACCCGAGTATGTTGATTAGTTGGTGAGGTGTGTTATGTTCTAAAAACCCCATTGTGATGGTAAATGGCACGTCATACAATTCATGCATTTAAGCATTTCAGTTTCATTATTAATGCATTTTTTTGATTAATACTATTTTGTTTTGCATTAAAAATTAATAGAAGGTGTTGGTTTTGTTTGGACTTGATTTGGTTGGTTCACTCTTAAATTTAGTTAATGCAATGTCTCAGTTATTAAATTTGGTTAATATAATATCTTAGTTATTAAGGGATAAAGGGCATGTGCATTAGGGTGATGTGTTGCAACAAACTTGATCCTTAATGTTAAAGGTAATTAGGAGTAGACATTTATTTAGAAGTTAGAAAATTTGGTGAAATTTATTAGGGACCATATTTTTATAAACACCATGTTGTTGTAGTACAGAGATGCATGAAAGATCTTATCAGTGAAAAAGCAAAAAAAAAAAGCTAATTATATCCTTTTAATAAAAGATTTAGTTCGATTTTTGCATGACCAACAAGGCAACAACCCTAATTTGTATGTGGCTATTTGTTTAAGTAGGGTAACAACCTATGTCGTTAGACCATCTCTAAACAAATGGATTTAATTTAGTAAATATGGAGAATCATATAGAAGATACCATGATTGTCAGATGAATATAATAAATAAAAAGCTCCGTAAGTTGGACTAGCAATAAGAAATTCACTAAAAAGTCTAGTTATAACTTGGTTAGAAAACACAAAAATTGAAAGCTAGGTAAAGACTGAGAAATAAATTGAATATCTATTTGAAGTTGGTGGTCAAAATCTAATACTCCCTTTATTTCAAAATAATAATTTTTTTTAAATATATCTCAAATTAATTATTATTTTCTTATTTTTAAAATAGTCAAATAATTTTTTTTTACTTTAACCATGCTATTATCCCTTTACTTTAATTGTTTGTTCTATCAATAAAAATCTCTATTTTTTATTTACAGTATTTTTTAAGATTAATATAAGATATATATAAATTATACATAAATTCTTAATTTAGAAAAAAAAAATTCAATCTATAGTTATTTTGTGGTAGAGAAAGTATTAATATGAGTCTCATTTTTCATAGTTTAAACTATATTGAAATATTAAAAAAGAATTTTGAATAAAAAATGTCCCCCAACATTAGACAATCCAACAGATCCAAGATTTAGTTTAGTATTGCGTTGTTATGTACTGCACTAAACATATTTTTAATTAAAAATAATAAATTTCATGTTTTACTATCTAAACTATATACAATCATAAAATCAAGATACTTAAATGAGAAAAGAAAGTCAAATATCAATAACCCTTCCCTAAAATTGTGTTGTAGTTTAAATCGCAAAAAAAATTTTCATTAATGATAAGGAAGATGTCGTGGGGACCGACCCCCTAGCAAGCTGAGGGAGGCCGGCCCTCGAGGCACCAATAAATTCTTTCCTTTTTTTCAAGGTAAATTTATTATTTAATTCTTATTTTTAACCATTCAAACTCATTTTTGTCTTCTCATTTTTTTTAAAGTTAAAATCAATTTGAATTTATATTGTTATAATTTAAAATTCTTAGGGTTTAGTATTTAGAATGTTAGGGTTTAGATTTTTTAAAGTTTATATTTATATCATTTTAGAGTTTTGTGTTTAAGATGTTAAGGTTCAGATTTTTTTAATTTAATATTTTATAGTTTTAGAATTTAGAATTTAGATTTTTTAAATTTTAATATTTAATGTGTTTGGGTTTAAATTTTTTAAATTGGAGATTTAATATTTAAAAGATTTAAGTATTTAATAATTTATATAATTTAAAATAAAAAATTACAAGACTTGAAAATTAAATTTTAAAAGCAAAAATAAAAATGGAATGGGGACCGATGGGTGGCCAATTGGTCCCTGTTGGATTACTCATAATAATTCATAATAAGATGACCGAAGAGTCGGATAATAACGGCCTCACCCAATAAGAGAACAAAGATACCTCGGTGTTCCTGACCACATCAACTAACTCCCAAAATCGCTACCATCACCATGCCGCCTGCCTCCCGATGTCCGAATGTGGATTAGACTTTCCCGACCCGAAAACCTCGATTCTCTCCCACTAGAACAGAATTTCGCTCTTCAACTCCACTCCCGGATTCGATTCGCTGCGTCCACCGTGATATACGGCTCTGATTGCTTCAACAGTCGTACTCTTCCTCACTGTAGCTCGCTAGGGTTTGTAAGTTTTCCTCTCCGAAACTGAAACTTTGATCATGTCCTCAGCACTTGCATAGATTTTAAGCTTTGGGTCTGTTATTTTCCTCTTCTTTTCTCAGTTGTGATTTTAGGAGTTTACTCAATTATAAATTTGGAAACTTTTAAGTCTTAAGTTGACTGTAGCCTGTTTGGTTGCGGAGATTCTAAAAGAAAACGGAGGAATTTGAAGCATGAATGTTTGAGTTTGAAGTAATTTTAAGTTGACTATTGGTATGGGTTTTTGTGTTACCATAATTGAATCTAAATTAGACGTAAGTGAGAGATTATCCAGGTGGTCATAGATAGCATGCTTTGGTCTTCTGTTGAAATTATTTAAATTGATTTTTTTTTTTTCCATATAGGTGAATTGGTAGAGAAATATGATTGTTGTTTTAGATGAATTATGCACTTGTTGATAGGAATTTTGGAAATATTGTTTTGGCTCCTAAGTCCTAAAAGCAGAAATGAGTTTAAATTCTCTTGCATTTCTAAATTTCCTAAATAAAATGGTTATCGGGTTATGATATTAAATTGATCTCTTAAAATGCATAGATTCTACAATTAAACTAAACTAGCATCATTTAATGACATTTGGAAGTATAGTGACAGTTAAAGAAAGTAATTGGTAAGTAATCGGACTTATGCATAATTCATAAAGTATGATGATCATTATTTGATACTTAATTTTAGCCAAAATGCCAATTAAGTTATGGACATGATTTGATAACTGACAATGTAATTACATCAAAAATTTCAAGAGAAACTCATGCCTCATCTCATATTTGAATCTAGGATGAGAAAATTGTAAGTTTCTCATAAAAATACATTAGACAAGTAGTTAGCAGATTTACGTTAGCAGGGTTTATTTTTCGAACAATTTTTACCAGTACAGGTCAATCTGTGCCTGTGTTCAAGTAACTTGATGTATGAATTATGATGAACTGAGCCATGTGAACCTCGGGATGCCATAGATTAGCTTAGCATCTTACTCTACATAAGTTAGATTGATTTGATTCACATTCTGAATCTCACCCATTTTCAAATTTTATCCTGAAACTTTCCCAGTTAAAGTGCTTATTTTTAATCGTGATATGACTATCAAAATGCATACACATTGTTGTTGACTTATTTTTTTTCTTTTTCCTATTAGCATTAGCTACCTTTCCAGGTTTGGACCAGCAAAATGTGTACACTATAGCTGTACCCTAAGTTGATCTGTAGTCCCTGTAAACTGTTTTGCAAACTACCTGAGATGGTTTCTTCAGGGGAATGCGTAACAGATGAAGTTGTTTGTGATAAATCACAACATAAACAGAGCTCTGATGGTGGAGATCATGCATTGGAAGAGATCCCTGGTAGTAGAGATCATAATACATCACAATCTGATCAAAAGGGAAGGGTTACCTCAAGAGAAACTAATAAATCATTACAATCAGACCAAGAAGGAAGCATGTCAATCATAATTTCTGAGCAAACATCACTGACCCCAGCTACCACTGCCCATACCTTTGCTGTTCCAGAGAGCAGCACTCCTGTAATACGTGAGAAAGTACCAGATGATGGATATAACTGGCGAAAATATGGGCAGAAACTTGTTAAAGGAAATGAATTTATACGAAGCTATTACAGATGTACACATCCGAATTGCCAAGTGAAAAAGCAACTGGAGCGTTCACATGATGGGAAGATTGTGGATACTGTCTACTTTGGACATCATGATCATCCAAAGGTTCTGAACCTTCCACTTGCTGTTGGCTTAGTTGTGTCCGTTGTTGAAGAGTCTCCTGATCGTGCATCTTTGAGTCTTGTCAAAGGTAAGAAAGAAACTTAAGCATTAACTTCAAGTCTAGTTAATTAGCAAATTTCTTGATTTATTTCATGGCATCACACCAGAAGAAAAATCTTCCAATGCACAAGGTCAGAATCCTCATCAGCTTGGGCCGAAAGATACTCACCAACCTTTAGTTGTTGTGGCCAATGAAGATGTAAAGGGTGCTCTTTCACTATCAAGTAGGAGAAAAGATGAGGCTGATAGTGAGGATGGTCCGAGTCCAAAGAGAAGGTACCTTGCTTTGTTATTTAATTTGTTTATTTTGTGCTGCTTGTATGTCATCCAGCCCTGATTTGATAGTCTTAAAATGTAAATCAGGAAGAAAGAAAGTAATAATGTTTATGCAACTCCAGTTGAGAAGCCAAAGAGTGAATCACGCGTTGTTAAGACTACGAGTGAGGTTGATATTGTGAATGATGGATACCGCTGGCGTAAATATGGTCAGAAACTAGTGAAAGGCAATCCTAACCCCAGGTATGTATCAATTTTCTTTCACTTTTGATCAACAGCAATTGATGCACTGAAATTTATGCTTTGCATATGTATGTGGATACTGTACCTTTTGCGGTTGTCCTGAGTGTTTCTCTGCTTCCATGTGGTGTAGGAGTTACTATAGGTGCTCAAGTCCTGGATGCCCGGTTAAAAAACATGTAGAGAGGGCATCTCATGATGCAAAAATAGTTATAACTACTTACGAGGGAAAACACGACCATGACATGCCTCCAGCTAGGACTGTTACTCACAACACAGCCGGTAGTCATGCAACCGCTCATAAAGACGAGCCTGGCACCAGATTAGAAGAAAGCAATACTGTCTGCCATGATATGGTTGTTTATTCTAGTTTAGATCTTAAGAGTAAATCGAATGAACATCTAAAAGGTGAGTACAGGGATACATCAGAAGTGACTGGTACGGCTGGTGTTGAAGCAATCAATGCGCCTGTATCAAGTTCTGAAGTGAGGTCAAATGAGAAACAAAATGCCAAGTCAGATCCCACAAAAGAGAGTCAAGTTCTTGACTCTGATATGATTACTATTGCTAAACCAGATCCTCAGGGTAGATCAAAGGAACAACTGAACAGTGAGTCGGAGGAAAATGGCACTGCTGGTACTGATAACAAGGCTGGCATTTCTCCACACCCTGAGCGTAATCTTGACGAGCAACGAATGCTAAATGCAGAAGTTGTCCAAAGCTAATCTGAGATTGCTGTTGTCTATAAAATTGTGTTATTGACATAGATCCACCAGGTTTATTAATGGTAGAGCCGAGGATTGGACACGTAGCAAAATCCCTAAAGATGAGATTCAAAGCCTTCATGGTATGTAAAAATTATTTGTGAAGGTAGAATAAGGTGTTAAGAGTAAAGGGGGTGGAATAAGATGTATGATTAAAGATTTAGCTGACTGGCTGTAGAAGTCTATTTTCTTTTAAGGATCTAACATGGAAGGGTTACCAAACAGCCGTGTCTTGCTATATTTTGAGTTAAATATTACGCAATCAAATCTCTGATTATCAAGAATCAGTCATGGCAGTCATAACAATTCTGATGATCTCTAGGGTATCATAATTTGTTAGTTAGGATACTACCTAGCTTATAAGTTTTTGAAAATGTTTCCAATTAAACTTGAATTATTGTTCTTTTTTTTTTTTTTTCTTTTTTAAGACAGACCATTTGGTCGAGATTTTTATATAAAAGGGGTGAGAAAATTTTTTATAAACGGGTGAGAAGGATGAGAAGGAAGAATGAGAGTTAAAAATCCAATTATACCAGTTAGGAAATATTTTTCACTAATAATTTAGCTAATTACTCTCTAGGTATTCTTTAAACTTGAATTATTGTAATTACTCAAATTAAGAGAGTAGTCAGAACACCTGCTGCCTTGGGAGAACAATAATCATAAACATTAAGATTTCCTCCTAATTTTCAAAGAGGTAAATAACCAAAGGACTGCTGAATGTCTCTCTTAGCTCACTACCCAAGTTCTGAGAGGAGCGCTATAAGTACCCAATTCTCACTTCCATGCACAAGATGCCACCAAATCTCTATCCATCCAACCAAGATATAGCGCACCATCTCTTTCTTCAAGACTATATCTGTCACAATAGTTGTCGAGCAGTCTTTTGATAGTGGCATTAACCAAGGAGCTCAAAGGACAGGGGGTGAACCCTGCCATTGTGAACCGTGATCTCCACTTTCCTAGTAGCTCATGTCTTTCTACCCTCTCAGGCCCTTCACAGGCTATTATGTTAACCAGATCCCTTGCCAGGCAGTGCTGCTCAACATTGATCCGCTCCTTGTGATCCCTTGGGAGGGTCATATCAATTGATTCAAACATGGCTGTGTAATAGTTCAGTGTCTCCACAAACCTTGGGAAGAATGGAGCCGTGTTCGTGTTAGATTCTTGCTCAACAAGGGTTACAACCTTAGGAGACAGGCTCTTAACCAGTCTCAACAGCCGGTCACGGTGATTCATAGTGCTGACACTCTCATCGGGCATGTGATGTAGCATGAAGGCAAAATTCACAGCCAGAGCTTCCCCAGCTCGAACTCCAAGATGTTCTAGCTGAACTTCACAGCCAGACATTGCAGCAGCATGGAACTCAAATGGCACTTTAAATTGCTTGGCAAGCTTAGACAGTCTCTTCCCCACAATATTTAAGCCTCCTCCACGAGCATAAGCTGATGTGGAATCATCAATGCCTGTTATGCGGATGTGGGGTGGCCCACCTGGCCTAGCTGCAAAAGCTTGGATGAATGTTAGCCATTGACTCCCCTGAGCAATTTGGAAATCAATGATGTGAACTCTGCTTTCATCCTTCATGGCTTCTGCAATGGCTCCGTTTGCAGACATGTAACCAAACTTGAAGTATGGACAAACCTCATAAAGAATGTGCATGTAAGATAGGAGATCAGCACTAGCAGGCTCTTTGCATGTCAAAGATTTGTAAATTGAGCTCCCTGAGGAGGCCAATCGTGCTACGAGCCCTTCCAACATGTATGCTCCCAGCCTCTGGATTGGCTCACCAGAAACTGACACCATCTGACGTAATTTATCCATCAAGCACTGTGCCATCAACAGATCATTTTCTGATATGGCTTTTGCACAGTCTATGAGACCCTGCTTTAAGTCCCCTTTGGAGATCGCCCCCATAACAAGTCTCCAGCTGTCCATCTCTGGTGAGGTTGTGTTGGTTTCATCATGGAAGGTATTATCAATTCCATCAATAAAATCAGAATCAGGCCCCAACATTACACTTTCCAGTTCTCTTAACTTATGCTTCAAATCATTCACATCATCAGTTACACAGGATCCACTAAAAGGAGAACCATAGGCATCTGGGGAATGATGCAGCTCAGGGGGATGGGACTGAGACTCTTGCTGAGACATTGGGCTCCCATTGGGTGAGAAGCTGACGGTTGATGGAGAATTGTAAACAGTGTAACTGCCGTTTGCTGAAGAAGACTCCAAAGTGCAGAATAGCTCACGGGAATTCTGAACAGAAAAGTGGCTTCCTTGGCTGCTGTCATTGTAACCGAAGTGATGATCAATAGTTTTGAACCGAGGCAAGCAGAAGGTTTCAACATCTTGATTTGGTGGACAAAACAATCTGCCGGACATAACTGAAGTTTTATGCTGCTGTGTAGCTCCCATTGAAAACCAATCCAATTGATCAGTTCTCCAGTCCCTCTGGAATTGCCAGTACAATGAAAGGAATCAGATTTAGCAGAAGCTAATCTGAAAATTCTGAATGCGTAAAATTTGGCTTGGTTCTCATGGAATCAGCTTATGAAGCCCTGGCTTCACCTAGATAGGTCAGCTAAATGCTCTGAATGAACAGATAGCAGTCATTGGCATCTCAATGATCATTTGCCTAACTTTCAAGATATTTCCATCTGCACACATGAGATTGAATCAGTATAATTACATAATTGTGTTTAATGGAACTATTTAAATACAACCATAACATCTAAATTGAGAATTTAAAAAAAAATGTCACATTCAACTTCTTAAACACTAGGCCAAAAGAAAACCTCCTAAAACATAAATGAGAGTATAAAATCATTTTCTTAATGCAGAACTTCAAAAAAGACAAGGTCCATAAACATAAGGAATGCGGCAGAAAATATTACATGCAAGAAACGGAGAAAAAAAGTCAGAATTTAGAAGGGTTAACTCAGCATATCAAACCACTTCTTGTTCTTCTTTGCCCTGTAATTCTAAAGCAAAGAATAAGAATTGCAGAAATAATTCAGAATTTACTACCAGATCTACTTCAATAATTGATCCAAAACCAAATTGCAGACTTCTACCTAATCAAACAATCATTACCTTTTCAAGTAAAACCCCAAAAAGAGCGAGGACCACTACAAGATAGACGGCTTTCCTATTTTATAATGTGAGAGCAATAATATATAAATAAACCATAACCAACTCAACTTCATTTCTAGTCTACTCAAGCATGAATTTATTGAATAATACCACAATCTCTCTTTCTAATAAATAATAAATCTCATACCTCGTGCTTGCTAAGCACTCTCCTGTCCTGACGTATGTTTTGTACTAAGAATTAGACTTATAAGAAAAAACTAAAGAATAATTTTTTTAACACTAGATCAACAAACAAGAATACTCATTTTACAGAAAAGAAACTTCTACTTTCCACCGAACTAAAACCAAGAAATCAGTAAAAATTTCTCAAATTTTTTTAAGAAATAATAAAACCAACATTCTTGATTTCCTCCATTTTCTACCCAAACCACACCACACATCCAAAATAACAAAAAGGAAAAAGAACTCCATGATTAGCAATTGAAAAACCTTTAAGTGGGATCAACCACCAACCACACAGAAGCAAGATAATCTCTGAGATTCATAAATGAGAGTGAATTCAGAAAAATCATAACCATAATCCCAAACCTTAAATTCCAAGGTCATAAACATTAAAATCCTCAGTAGAAAACCAGAACACAGAACTCCAAACAAACCCAGAAATTCTGAAATGCTTCAAACCCATCCTACCTTTGGCTGATCCAGCAGAAACCCACTTTCAGAAAAACCAATTCATTCACAGAGTTCACAAAATTTACCCAAAAAACAATGTAACAAATTCACTTGCAAAAGGAAAAAAATCAATAAAAAAGATGAGATACCAAAATTCAAGGGAGGAAGAATAGAATAAAGAAATTCACTCTACAGAATGAGATTATTTTCCAAGTTTGAACATCAAATCAATGGGTAATGGTAATTGGCATCTTCACCTTGTTTCCAAGGAATCTCAACTTCGTGCTGTCACTCCAAGAACAGAACCTTTTCAGGGGGGAGAGGCAAAGACAATAGAGTTCCCTTCCCTATGCAAAGAGCCACATGTGCGGTGTATTATAGCGGTATATTATAGCAAATATAAAAATAAACTAAAAATCTAAAGCCCACTGATTACGCCAAAAATTACAAGATCACCAATAATTTTGGATATCTGAGCTGTCATAAAATATTGCTTGAATGTAAAAAGATCAAAATACCCTTGTTAAGTACTACTAACATGTGATTAACTCATTGAATCGAATCCAATCGACGGCTATGGTTATGGCACGCACAGAATGGTTAGAGTCATAAGAAATAATATAATTGTAGTTAATTTAATTATTAAGAGTTATTAATTAATAATAAATAAAATACATTATATTTATTATTTAATAATTTAAATTAATTTATAAACTAATATGTTTAAGCACCTTAATGGTATAAATTAATAAAATTACATAAATTAGACACACATACAATATTATTCTAGGTAAAAACCTTTTTGAGCCCTTTATCTTATTAAGTTTGTACGTTTTAATCCCACATTTTATACTATGACACTTTTAGACCTTCATCTATTAGAATTGACAATAATATCATTCACTTTATAATATTTCGTTAGTTTTATTAATTAACTATTAACTCTATTAGCTAATTATTAACTCTGTTAACTGAAAATAGATTTTTATCAATTAATAGTCAACTAATAATCAGTTAATAAAGTTAACAATTAATTAACAAATTGACTATTAACTTTATTAGTTGAAAGTAGATTTTTACCAACTAACAGTCAGTTAATAAAACTAATAGTTAACTAACAAAACTAACAAAACTAACAAAATGTTATAAGTAAAAGCTATTTTCTTTATTTTTAAGGTGAATGATTAAAAATGTCATAATATAAAGGGAAAAGTTAAAATCTATAAATTTAGTAAGATAAAAAGTTAAAAGTAAGTTTTTGCCAACTATGTCGTGTGACCACAAGAATTATCATAACCCCCGATCATAGTGCTAGATGATAAGTTTATATGTTTTGAGAGTAACTCAATCACATGTCAATTAAATAGAGCCGTGAGATTTGCTTTTCAGATTTTATGGTCCATAATGATTTATTTTTTGGCCTTCCATAATGAATTTAGAATTTTAAGTTTTCCCATTCAAATTATGTTTTTAATGTGTATTTAAAGTATTAAAATTGTTAAATTATTATTACTAAAAAATATTAAAAATTATATTAAAGATATTTTAATAAATTTTGTATTTTAACTCTATCTTTTTTGTATACAATTTAACCTTAAAAACACCTTTGTAATATAAATGACATAAA